AAGAATATGCATTTTTTTATACATACAGTATGTAAACCTAGAAGTGTTTGTTTTTGAAGCGCAGTGGTCACAGAGATAACTGGCTTGATTTAATTCTTTTTTAGTGGAATGGACCGTAACAAGGATCAGGCCTCAGGATGGAGCCCTTTAAAAAGTCCAGGTGTGACAAAAGAAACAAAGAATATCACCGAAGTGCCCCAAAAATGTCCTCCAACGTCACACCCTGTTCAGATTTCTAACAATGCCCGTTCTGTTGCTGCAGTTTACAAAGCGACCCACTGAAAAACAGTTTCTACATAAATACAATCAAATCTAACAATGTATATTTTATTCTAAAATAAGTTGCATGTTCCAGGTTTGACGAGGCCAGATGCTACAAGGTAAGAAATACCACATGGAGAGCATCCAAACTCTTCTCAGCAAGAAATCAAACTCCAGTAAAAGAGACAGTTTGGATACAGTGAAAGTACTCGTGTCCTTCAGTGCTCGTTTCCTTGTGCTGGTTGGTGGCTGGGGACGGATGGACAGTGCATGCAGGCAAACGGATCATGCAGAGACACAAAAAAATGGAGTGAAGTGAGGTCAGGCCACACAAATTCAACTAATGGTCCAAATGAAAGCAGTGCTGCCTCCTAATAACTGGACATAAAACGGAACTGTGGTCTTTTTGGTAACTGGGCATTGTTTTAGGACTGACTGTGAAGACGAGACGGCCAGACGGTGCTAGTTTTGGCTGCGTTTGAGAAAGCAAAGCAGGAAAGCCACGACTGGCACCGAGGCTCAAAAGTTCTGGGAAGTTAACGTGCAGAAATGACCGTGCCTTTAACGTGAAATCGCACAACAAACGGAAGCGTCTGCGAGAAAAATAATAAAGATTTTCACAGAGAACGACAAACGCAAACCAGTGATGATTCAGATTTACAGCGCGCCGCTGCAGATGCCGTCTCCACTACAATCCGAGTTTAAAGTCAACTATTTACAGCAAACGGCTTCACGTCGAAAATTACCCTCCACAAAAAAGAAAACGTGAAAGAACCAACATTATAACTCGTTTAGAGGTGACAGGAAAGTAACTTTTAGCTGCGTTTAAAGATGCATCATCTCTGTTATTACAATTTAAATACATTCAGTCAAAATGTAAAAAGTGACATTTTAATCTATATCAATACATATTAATACATAAGATGGAATGAGTGTTTTTTTTTTCTCAGTTGGTCCTCATAAAACGGAAGCTAAAAGTAAAGTTACTTTGTTACTCTTCCCAGCACTGCAACAGATTATTGAGATTATTCATTAATAAAACAGGTTAACAAGTTTAATCCTGCAGATTTTACAAATTAATTTCAATTTAAACCCAGATCAGCCTAAAACGATGTGGGGTTTAATGCATTACGTCACTTTTTTTCTTTTCTTTATAATAGAATCAACGGTAACAATAAGTAGCAATAAAGTTAGTTCAGGACATTTTGAAGTGGGGTTCTGTGGAAAGGTTATGAACAATTAATGTCTTACCTGTTAATGGCAATGGCAGGTTGAGAATCACATGTTAAGATTGAAATAATTTAAAATAGACTATTCAATTGTAACAATTCATTTTAACGAGGTTCATTTGTCCTCTGGTAGTCTAAGTCTACGGCAGCATAAATTCAATTCAATTCAAAAATACTTAATAACAAGCCAACCCTAACTATAGGATTTATCAAAAAGGAAAGTCTTAAACTGGACAATGTGTCAGCCTCATGGACAGAAACTGGAAGTTGGTTCCACAAGAGAGGAGCCTGATAACTGAAAGATCTTCCTCCCATTCTGCTCTTGGAAACTCTAGGAACAGCAAGCAAGCCTGCAGTTTGAGAGCAAAGTGCTCTGTTAGGAAAATATGGGACAATAAGTGGTCTCCAGGTACAAGTACTTGGGTGTGCACCTGAGTGACGACCTTAGCTGGAGCAACAACACCACCAGCCTGATCCAAGAAAGCTCATCAGAGACTCTACTTCCTCAGGCGGCTGAGACGAGCTGGTCTGGGAAGCTCAGTCCTCACCTCCTTCTACAGGTGTGCAGTGGCGAGCATCCTGTGCTCCAGCACCAACGTGTGGCATGGAGGCTGCACAGCTGCAGAAAGAAAAGCTTTGCAGAGAGTGGTGAAGGCTGCACAGAAGTCTGTTGGAGTCAGCCTCCCCACCATCAGACATTTACACCTCCAGATGCAGGAAGAGAGCCACCTGCATCATGAAGGACCCCACTCACCCAGCACACATTTTTTTTGCCCCACTCCCCTCAGGAAGGAGGTTGAGGAGCATTAAGTGTAGAACCACTAGACTGAGGAACAGCTTCTACCCTGAGGCTGTTTGACTCATGAATCTCTAATTAGGATAATCACTGTGGAAAAAAAAAATCACTGTAATGCCACTCAGTTGTTTGTGCTGCTGACTATCCATGCTGCTGATCTCATGCTGCTGATTTATTTTATGCTGCTGTATTCATTCGTGCTGCTGTTTGGGGTATTACTGTTTTTGCACTATTAAGTATTTAGCATATTCTTAGTTTAGCATATTTCTTGTTCATATTTTCGATCTTATTGATGTTTTTCTTTTACAATTTATGCTTTTGTTGGATGTAACTGGGACCCTGTGGACACAATTTCGTTCCACCACATGTACCATATGCGATGCGAATGACGATAAAGAACCTTGACTTGACTTGATTTGTAATATAAGATGGAGCTAGGTTGTTGAGGGCTTTGTAGGTTAGATGTAAGATTACAACAAGTAAGATATTCACTGTTCATGACTCTTTTCACAGAACCCCCCTTCAAACGAGTTGAACTAGACGAGGACCAAACGTGAGGAAGCAGAACAAATCTCTTTGACTGCTGCAGAAATCTTAAAGCCAAATGATGCCACTCAAGATCTGAGGTTTGTACTTTTTGATGCGACTTTTTTCTTGACAAAAGCGGACAAACATAAGAGTGGCACCGATATGTGCACGGATATGAGTCGTACTGAAACAGTGTTGTGGTACTCATGAGATAAATAAAGTGGAAAACCATCATTGCTACAATACAAACATTTAAGCGACTGTAACAAAGGACAGCAGAGGTGTCTTCAGTAACATCTTAAAGGAGCCAGCTGCACGTACAGCTGATGCAAAGTGTTTTTCAATGCCAACTTCAAAACAATATCAAAGTATTCAGTATGTATAGATATATATATAATATACTCCTTTCTTTTATATATAAATCTACTATGAACAGATGGTAAATACACAATTGTCTTTTTACAAAGTAGAAACCGTTGCATCCCAACATTCTTCCCAAAATCTTGAACCAAGAAATAGATTCACAAAGTCCACTTGAACCTGTTGTGACGTTTGACGTTGTAACGGAGGGTGACGTGTGAGGGTTAACGTCCACTGAAGGGCAAATGAATCAAAAGAATCAGCACAAGTGGCCGTTGGTGCATGTGGCACGAATCCTCAGATCAGTGTTGCATGTAAACAACCACAGTTCGCTGAATTAAAAAAAAAAAAAAAAAAAAACGGCGAGAGGGAAGTTTCGCAGGTCGAGCACAAGTTGGAAGGATGGTTACCGTGAGAAAAAATTTAGTGTGGATGGTGCTGCTTGATATAAAACTTTTAACTAAATAAATGTTTTAAAAATGGGGTTTACTGACATCTAATGGTGATTTTGCAGATTGCAACTAACCAATTAATATTCCCCAGCATGGTTGATAGACCCCTTGCGAAAACCTACAGCAGCCCCAGCAGACCTTTGTTCAAAATAAGGAAAAACATTTTTGTTTGTTTCGTAAAATTGCATTTCTGCTAATAAATCCCTCTAAACGTACGACACCAGAAGTATTCAGTTCTATTCTTTAGACTTTACAGGGAGGAGAATGTAAATATTTTATCTACTTTGCTTTTTAATGAGAACTAAAATTAAGAATTCAGATTAATTGCTATCATTAATGTGTTTAAACTCTTTGCATTGGTGCTGAAAAACTTGTATTTCTCTGTCTATGAACAGACAGAAATGTTCACGCACCTGCTTCTTAGCACCGGACATTTGGGGAGCAGATGTGCTTCATAAAAGCCTGAAGATGTTGAACCAGCTGTGAGCGCCTCGGCAGCACCAGAACACCCCTCTGGAAAATCCCAGGTGGGATAGCAAGAGGGCTGGTTAAACAAATTGGCCCATGTGAGAATAATTATAGCCCTCCGTAATCTTACAAAAGTGACCCAAATTCTACTGTCACGGCAAAGTCGTGGCTGAATGGAACTGTATTTCATGTCCAAATTGTGGCTGGGAACCATCTTCCAAGCTGAAAACGGTGTGCTGGCTGCAGGAAAATAAAGGTAAACGTGCCAAGGTCCTCCAGTCTATGTGCCGAAAACATGCAGGCAGCCGGCGTCGTACCAGGAGAGGAAAGTCTGACTGGATTGGTCGAAGATATCTGTTTTTAAGGCAAAGCTCTTTAAATCGAGTTCAACAGAAAACCCACCTAACTTTTTTTTTTTTTTTTAAAAGGCACAAATGCTCAGTCTATTACTGTCAGAATCCAGGCAACCCGCCCACTTCTCCCATCTGTAGCTTGCAGAAACGCAAAAAAAAAATTCAACAACTTTGTTTCATTTATTCCAAAAAGCAGGAAGCCGTCCTCGGTGCAGAGTCACGGTTACAGCGGCTCTGGTGGTTCTGAGACGAGTGTGAAGATGAAGGAACGCACAGAGAACTGCCGTATCTGTGCGCATTAGTCAGAGCTGCAGTTAAAAAGTTTTGTTGTTGTTTTTTTTTAAGCACGGGCAGTCGAAGCTGGGATAACTGACTCGACCTTTAAATGGCCGACGTCATCAAGTGCAACACGTTTATGTGAGCTGTCCTGTGCACCACTGACGGATGAGAGCTCATCTTCAGCTGTACCACTGTTGTCGGCTCTTCTGGTTGTCCTCGAGACAAACTGGGTCTTCGATACGACTGTAGAGGGACGTACGAGGACTCTATGGGCCGAAGTTGATCACTGGTCTGAGTGGTTGAAGGCTAATGAAGTCTGTTTTACATTGGAGCTTCCTCCTCCATTGGTTCTTCTTCAACCCTGAAAGAAAATTAATATTTACTTGTAAAGTGGTAAACTTCATAGAATTGAGCTGAATATAAGAAAAAAACTGCTTGAGACTATATATTTAATTGAGTCTTATATGATGGACAAAAACCTTTTTAACTCCATTTTTCATGCTTTTGTATAAACAATCTTTCACATTTGCTTGTTTGTTTTTTTGGATGACTTAAATAAAAAGTGTGATTTTTGTGGTTTAATTTCATACATCTGTTTATCTTAATTTCCTGCAATGTTGCATTTTTTTTGTGAAACAGGGCTTCTTAACAGGGACAACACTTAATATTTTAGTAAAAGATTACATGTAAAATATATACAAATGTATGCATAAGTCATATTATATTGCATTTGTAGCTTCTAAAAAGATAAATTCCTTTCACCAGCTTCGTGTTCACCTTGTCTGCCTTTTTCTGTTTAAAAAGCTCTTAAGTCATTAATTTTAGATCTGTAAAATTTTTAGAAATATAAAAGGTGCCTCCTTAAAATTAATCCTTCTAGACAAAATAGCCAGAGAAAGGAAAGTTTAAAGAATGTAAATGGGTCTAAATTAAAAATACAGATTCTGACACTAATTACTTGTGACATCAATGATGACATTAATCACTGAGACATGTCATGTACTGTAAGCAACAAGTCGAATAAATAATGAAGGCAACAAGGGGCACGTGGATGCTGAAGGATTTGAATAACAAATGTTTATAGTTTTAGAGATGAGTGTTTTTCTGGACTGGAATTGAACAGGGATAATTTTTTTCTGCAAGACTCAAGTGAATAGTAGTTACACTGTGTAGATAAAAAAAGGAATTTTTAAATTTTATTTTTCTTGTCCCAGGCAGCACAGACGGACAGATCTGGGCGAGCAGAGGGGGCAATTTTATCCATCACCAGGTGCAATGGTGGAGCCAGGGGGTGGCCAATGGTGGCCTTGGCCACCATAGATTAAGCTTTGGCCACCCCGAAAACCACCCCAATCATTTGAGGAAACTATACTTTTAAGCAATGTCAAAACAAGAAAGCATAGTTTACTCAAATGATAGAGGTTTAAATATATATGATGGCAGCCATCTTGGATTTTGAGGCGTCAACCCAGTTTCGAAAGGAACCTTTTTTTGTGCCTGGATGCAGCCACACATAAAAAAAAATAAATAAAAAAACCGGAAGTCAGTCCCTCACTTATTTTTTTCCGTTTTAATGCTCACAACATGTATGGATGAACTAAGAGACAGAGGCTATTTCCAATTCCCCTCTTTGCTCTGCGACGGGGTACAAAAAATGGTTTTAACCAATTGCATCAAACTGTTTCTTGATCTAATTGTCTGCTGGTTGGAGCTTCAGTTTGACCAACTCTAATCAATACAACCCTCAAACAAATTCTGTTAAACGTGCAACAAAAGTTCGATCTTAGTCCAACCACGGATAGAACGTGCCACAAACCTCTTTCCGATGTGTTTGTTAGCGACAGACAATGAGGCCATAGCAGAGACGGTTTCGGCTTCCTCTGTGTCTCGCTGAAGAGCTTCGCTCAACGAACAGCCGAGCGTGGAGGCAGAGCGCTGCAGCGAGCGCCAGTATTTACCTGCAGGAGAAAAATCAAATGTCACCACTGTTTCACTGAAACGTTGACATGTAGACTGTGTTAATGGATGGAATGATTTAGCACCTAAAATGAAAGTGCAGTATCTACAGACACACTAACTCTGTATCTCTGGGCTGCGGCTAGTTGGCTAACATTGTTCACAAGAGCCTCAAATGTCTCAAATTATTTTGCTTGGACTTTGAACATGTCAGAAAAATTTATTGGTAAATATTTTCTTTAAATAATTGCAGCATCTTTACTGGGTCTCAAACTTGTCCGAATGGCGATACAGTGGTGAGGAAGCTCTTTTATGACAAAAAATATAGGTTTTAAAAAAGTATGCTAATGATAATTAATGTGTTGTCCATTAATGTGATTTCCAAGTCATGCACACAAAAATAAGGCATCGTTTCTGCAAAACGCAGCCGGACCACTCACTGATCCCAAACCCTCAGATTGTGTGCGCCGTTTTCAAACTTGCTGCAAAGTTTGAACATTTTCTTTTGCAAACCGAAGTGCATGAGTTTGTGAAATGACACAGGTGTCAAATGTTTCCATTATTTTTTTTAATGGTGAGAAACAAAAATAGCAGTTTATTTCATTACGTTTCATCAGGATACGTTCAGGCTTTAGGAATTTTGTTTCACATTGTTTATATTTTGAAATGCTTTACGAACAGACAAAAGGTTTATGAGTCCATAGGCTGAATAAATTAAAGTATTGCACTATAATAAAACATGTCCATGCAGCGGGCTGGTCGATGAAAGTGACGTACTTACCATGAACTTCGATGACTTTCTGCATGGAGCGCACAGCGTTGGCGTTTGGTCTCTGTTGAAGCACTTCATAAGGAATTGGATCCAACTAAAAAACAAAATTGAAAACATTTCCACGTTATGTCTGTCTAATGCTAGTGCACTTTTTTTCTACATAAACGGCGTCAGTTAAATTTGACAGAACTAAAAAATACTTTTAATCCAATTTAACTTCTCCAAAATAAAAAAGCATCAATTGAAGGTATTGAGCATTAGAGCAACTTATTTTTAGATATAATAAGTGTTGCATACAGTGGGTATTTCTACAACTGTGCCTGACAGGTGTTCAGAACGTTCGCTCCAAAACCCCGTTTGACCTTCCACGGGTCCCTCGTGGTGTACAGGATCTTTCCTTTTTTTAAAGTAGACCACAACCCACTGTTGAGCCGGTCCAAAAAGTTGTGGAACAATGTCCAGCTACCTCCTCCCACTAAGAAACAGCTTTGCTACTCTTTGACACAAACTACACAGTGAGCTTTGTTCTGAATCCCACTCTAAGGACAAGTATGGGTGTACGCAGATGCAAAAACTTGGAAAGTGCTTGTTCACACAAACATACACACACACCTCTGCAAACGGGGCTAAGTCTATGAAAGTCTTCAAGCCACAGAGTTATTCCCTGAAGTGCCTTCCTAACCCGGAATGATTTAATTTCCCCTTTGGCTGACTGCTCATACGACGCTTTCTCATCCCATTTTGTTCAACGGGCTCATTTAGCTCCACATTCCAGCAAAGACAACACTTCCCTTTTCTGCTCTGTCATAACCCCAGCGGAATAACGCACCGACATGGAAACGAGAAAAGAGAAACATAAAGAAAAGGAGGGGAAAAAACTAAGAGGTTTGGCTTGACATTTTGGATGCAGGATACCAGAGAGGAAAGTGAAAAAGTCATAGTCAGTTTGACTCGCATGGCCAAGACTTAAAAGTTTTTTTTTAATTTAATTAAAACAAATAGTGCGTAGGAGGAGACCACGGGACTGAAGGGAAAAAGGCAGTTTGGAAGACGGATACTTTAATCCTGCTGTGGCACGACAAGCTACATCATGCATTCAGGAACGGACCAAGGTGCATGCAAACGTACAGTTGTGTACACTGCAAAGTTACAAACTTATCTGCTATATGACCAACTTTATCTAAGACACTGAGCAAAATTTCAAATAACAGGTTTATGAAAGCCACGGCTGGTGTCCTACATGAACTTGGCCTAAAACAAATCCTGAATCGTAATGAGATTGTTTGTGACTAAAAGAAGACAGCTAGCCTTTTGCACCTTTAAATATTTTAAACCTCAGGTAAGGTACTTATTGGAACTGCCTTTTTTATTGGTATAAACTTCAAGTTACATGCATGTAACTGCATTTCTATGTCGACGATACCGTGGTTTATTGTCCTGCTAAAACAGTTGCTCGGGTTTTCCAGCTCTTACAGTCTGTATTCGACATCACTCAGTTGGATTTGTTCCATCTCAAACTGGTGCTAAATGCTTATAAAACCAAGGGGATGTTGTTTTCAGACAGAAAGTTGGTGCCAGCAGTTCTTCTTTCTATCTTATCTACGAATGGTGTTCCTATTGAGTTAGCGGATTCTTACAAATACTTGGGAATCCTGGTTGATGCACATCTCTCTTTTAAGCCACATGTTGAAAACTCAATAAATAAAATAAAATTAAAACCAGGTATATTTTTCAGAAATAGATCTTGCTGAACTCTGAATGCCAGGAAATGCCTTGTAGCTGCTACTTTCCTTCCAGCCATTGACTATGGTGACATTATTTATATGAATGCTCCTGCAAGCAACTTGCAGATGTTGGATGCTGCCTATGATGGCATGCTAAGATTTATAACTGTAACTACTTTACCCATCACTGCACTCTGTACTCTTTGGTCAGTTGGTCATCATTAACTTCAGCAGGCTCTCATATGGGTACATTTTCATCTTTAAATGACTCCTTGGTCTGCTGCCTTCATATATCTCGTCCTACGTGTCACATTGTCAGTGCAGTTACAGCGTGCGCTCTCAGGCCATCATTACCTGCAGTGTCCCCTCAGTGCAGACTGAACGTGGCAAAAAGGCCTTTTCTTACTCCGCTCCTGGAGCACTTTGCAAAAAGATCTGAAGCTGCTGACTTTGATCTCTCTAAGAGATTTTAAATAAATGTTAATTTAAATGCAAAAATCAATGCAGACATGTTCATGATTTTAGTATTTTACCTTGTTTCATACTGTAGCTTGATTTTATTTTGTTTAATATCATTACTTTTATTTACTTATTATTTTTAAAATTTATATGCATTTTATGGCTGTTTGTCTATACCTTATCTGTGGTTTGTCTAAAACGGGTCTCTCTTGAAAATGAGTCCTCGTGACTCAATGAGACTAACCTGTATAAATAAAGGTTGAATGAATGAATGTATCAAAGTGCTTGCATTTACAGTCGAGAACAAAAACAGCAGGGTGAGGTTTGGATCCAGCCTGGTTTTGCTGATAACTGTTGCCATAAGTAAATAAATTCTGTGCCCTTTAAAATGGACAGCCAAGAAAAGTCATCAGCTGACGTGTATTAAACCAGCTCGGTCTGATAGTGATGTATTGCTTTAACTGTGGCTGAGTGGGAGACAGCAGAACTTATTCATTACTCCCACCTCAAAATTTCCACGTTGGAAGACTCAAAACCATCAAGCATTTCAGTCAAAACTTGCTTCTCCAAGTTTCCGGCTGCAGCCATGGACCACCACAACTCGAGCCGGTCCCAGCTCTGCTGACCCAGCTTCCCCCTCAGCTCCCAGTCAGAGAAAGGTCAGGGGTTTTCTGGGGTTTGGTGGAGTTCACCTTGAAGCAGGGCTGGGCTGGGGCAGCTTGTCAGTTTGATTGACAGCCGGGCCTCACACTTATAAATTTTAATGACTCTTGTCATGGTACCCCAGAGGCCCCCAGTCAGCAGGTACAATAAAGACCCAAATGAGCCGAATACTATGAACAAGCTTACATTTGTGCATGACGTCATCCGGGGCGACATTTCAGTTTATTTTACTTTGTGTTCTTGGATGTTCTTTTAGTTGGACATCAAATGCGTTGCAGTCTGAGAGACAGAGTGAAAGACGTCCTTCAGGCTGATGATCTCTGAGGACGTCTACATCCCTGTGCGTGATGCAGCCATCGCACAAAGCACAAGGCTCAGCCAACAAAACCGAGACACCGTGGAAAGCCATGAGCTGAAAGAGAGGAATGTGCTCTGGTAAAAACATTCCTGAGGGAGGCTCAAACCAAAACAGTGGAAAGAGCAGGAATTCCACTTGTTCAGCAAAAGAAAGTGCACAAGGCATCCATTGTTTACCGTTTCACCATGCGCATGTGATGGCGGCCGCTAAAATCGTCCGATTACGTTACGCCAACTGAACGAGGTAATCACGTGCGTTGTGCAAAACAGGTGATCTTTTCCAGATAAAGTCGTAGGTTTGCTTTGGATTTGTGGGGAACAGTCGGGCCTAAAAGGGAAACAGGTGAAGTCGAGCATCTTACTGTAACTGCAGTGCAGACACACTTAACCTCACACAGGCAGCTGGTAGCAATTAGCATATTAGCTTGTTGTTTATCAAATAATTGCTAACAACCGTGGTTAGGAGTTGGCCAACATCTGTTTGTGAGCAATCACCAAATAGTCCAGAGGTCAGAGTTGACTAGCATAGCTGCAAACGCATCATTCATGAGCTATTTAACAGGAGAGACTTGGCGATAAAACTTCATTCTGCTATTTTTCACAGCTAATTTGAGCTCTTTTGGGGGGGGGGGGGTAATGCTCAAAAGCAACACTCGTCAGTTGCATTCCTACTACTTGTAAACAGTAAAGCAATGAAAGCACAAGAAGATGCAACTTTTGGGTTTATTAAGACTAATAAGCCAATTATAACTTAGTTTATTAAGCGTACACCATATTAGTCTTTTTCATAAAATAAAATAAAGCGTACACCATATTAGTCTTTTTCATAAAATAAAATAAGTCTCGTATGTAAATGTGCACTATGGGGATTCACTAAACCAAAACCTGTAAACCAAAAATAAGACATTACGTCTGTAGAGCTGGACCAAAGGTTTTTTTTTTAATGACGGTAATATAACGGATTCAGGCGGCTTCCAAAGCCTCAAGAGTTTGAAGCAAAATAAACAAAAGAAACAGCTGACCAGCTCATCCAGCTGAGGTCTCAGCAAACACACACCCTCACACAGATGTACAAATTAAACTTTATTCTTGAAGGAAAAACTCACTCTCTGGACAAGTTTAAAGTGGACACCGTAGGCTGTTGCCTAGTAAAAGCACCGACAGCCAGTTTGAAGACAATTTTAGGCTCATGAAGGGCATAAATAGTCACCAGAGTTGTTAATTGTGTCCGCAACAAGACACTGAAAACAAAAGCTCCGGCCTTTAGTCTTGTCCGGTACAGCGCCCTGAGATAACTTCTGTTGTGTCTTGGCATTATATAAACGAACTGAAATAGCATATCATCCAGAAACATGGCCAGTCTGTTACACAGCCCTTTATAAATATAATAAAACCTTTTTCCTACCATTTTGATCTGATCTGGAATATTTTAGCTTGTTTTCTCACTATCGGCTATCAAAGCCTTAAACAACTACCATAATTTTCACTGTATAAGTTGCAGTTTTTTTGCATAAATTAGCATGACTGCGACTTATACAGTGAAGCGACTTATTTATGCTTTTTCCCCATATTTATAACCAATTTTTGGCTGAGATCTGACGATTTCAATCATTCTGGCATGGAAAATATTGAATACTACCATTTTCAGCGAGTAGAGGGCCCTCGACTAATATGGCAAGCCAAGTGTCTCATTAATAGGTGAAAGTGGCTATTAATGAGACACTTGGCTTGCCATACTTAGCCACCTTCGTCTCACTCTGGAACTCCTGAAGCAAACGTCTAATCAGCTGCATTTCGCCGCCCACGTGAAATGCAACTGATTTGGCCATTAAAGTGCATTTATTAAGGAAAAGTTAAACTGAGACGCACCTTTTACTATAATTTCGAACAA